GTTTTTCTTTTTTGTTTTTTGTGGAACCAGGGATTGAACTCAGGTCCTTGCTCTTGCCAAGGAAGCACTTATTCCACTAAGCCATCTCCCCGTCTATGAATTTCTTTTTAAAAATGTATTTATACAGGTCTATAGGGTCTCACTACACAGATCAGACTCATAGTGATCCTTCTGTTTTCAGCCTCCTAAGCACTGGGATTATAGGCTCACGCCATCATGCCCAGTTTCAGTTGCTGGCTCGGTGTGCTCTGAGGGTAGGGCTGGCATGGCATGCTGAGCATCGAACCCCAGCTGCTGCATCTGCCTGTGCAAGTGCTTTAATCTGCTGAGCTATCTGGCTATTTTTGAATTTCACTTTATTTGTTGTAGTGCATAGTGTTGTCTTCCAACCAGTTATTTATATTACTAGATATATGCATGCAAAAATTGGAAGGACAAACAAAAAAGAAAGAAATGTATAAGAAATTAAGAAGATAAAAAGTACTAACAATTGAAAAAAAGGAGACAAAACAAATTAAGCATTATCTACTTCTTTCCATAGACCAGCAGAAATGCACAGTACAGTTGTCTGAAGCATCCTGCTTACAAAATTAGATAAATCTCTTTCCCCCACTCCTTCTCTTGTCCTTCTTCTCAATCCAGTAGCTTTCCTTTTCAATAAGTTCATTTTCTTTTCCTAGTATCTTTTGTACCCTTCAGATTCCATTTTCTCTCTCAGGTTCTCACACTAAGGATACAATACAGTGCTTGCACGTGTGTGTCTGATTTCCTTTCTTTTCCTTCTTTCTTTCTTTTTTTTCTTATGTTCTTTTTTTTCTGTGAAACTAGTAACTTTGTTTTTTTATTTTTATTTTTTATGCACTTTAATGAGAAAAAAAGATAAAATAGCAATGAAACAGTTTCAAAACAGGTTAGTAGGATGAGAGTATGGTCTCTAGTTGCATTCATTTACTGACAAAAGATTCAAATTTATCCTGTTCTATAGCTAAATAATACTCCATTGTATAAAGACACTACATCTTTATCCATTGCTCAGTTGATGGGCATCTGGGCTGTTTCCAATTGTGCTCCTATAAACATGGGTGCACATATATCGCTGTGGTGTGATGCTTTCAGTTCTTTGGGAAAAATATCCAGGAGGGAAATGTGTGGCTTGAATGGGATCTCCAATTCTAGCTTTTAAAGGAATCTCCATACTGATTTCTATAGTGGTTGTACCAGTCTGGACTCCCACCAACAATGGAGAAGTGTTCCTTTTTCTCCATAGCCCCTCCAGCATTTGTTATTAGCTGACTTCTTGATGTTAACTATTCTTTCTGGGGTGAGGTGGAGTCTCAGCGTTGTTTTAATTTGCATTTCTCAAATGACCAATGATGTTGAACATTTTTTCATATATTTACTTGCCATTTGTATTTGTTCCTCTGAAAGTGTATATTCATCTCAGATGCCTGTTTTTGGATTGGGTCTTTGAATTTGAGGGGCCTGATTTTTTTCTTATTCTTCATATTTTCTAGATAGAAGGCCTTTGTCAGCGGGACAGTCTACTATAATTTTTTCCCAGTTTGTGGGTTTTGCTTTTATCTGTTGGAGATTTGCTTTGAAGTGCAGAAACTTTTCAAAAAGATGAGATCCCAGTTGTTGATTCTTTGAAGTATTTCCCATGCAGTTTGCTTTTTGTTCATGAACTCTCTACTTACCTCTATGTCTTTAAGATTTCTACCTACATGTTCCTCCAGAAGATTTAGTGTTTCTGTTTTAATATTTAAATCTGATCCATGCATGGGGTTAGGCATGGATCTAGTTTTAGCCTTCAGTATGTAGAAAGCCAGTTTTTCCAGCAACATTTAAGGCTACCTTTCTTCCAGTGAGCATGTTTGACCCCTTTATCAAATAAAGGTGGCTGAGTGTGTTTGCAGTTGTGTCTGCATCTTCTAATCTTTTCTATTGATCCTCAGGTCTGTCTCTATGCAAGAACCATGCTGACTTTATCACAGTAGCTTTGTAGTATAATTTCAGGTCAGGGATTGTTATACCTCCTGCCTTTCTTTTGTTTCCCAGGATTGCTCTTGTTATTCTGGGTCTCTTATTGGTTCCAAATGAATTTGAGGAAAGTTTTTCTAGCTCTGTGAGTTATACTAATGTTATATTTTTTTAAAATCAGGATTGCATTGAATCTAACAATTTTGGGAGTATGTGAAAGACATTTTTAAATTACAGAATTAGTATTTACCTATAGAAGATTTAAAAAATGCCAAAATACTAAGAGAAGAAAATAAATATGAATGGCTGTCCATCATTCTAAGTAATCATTATCATTGTTAGCATAATACTTTTGTAACTTTTTCTGAGCATATAATGCTGGAGTTCTTCATCTGGTTTTACATAGTTTAGGACATACTGTACCTCTGTCACCCTTTTCATTTAACAGAATGCCATGAATATTTTTGTAAGTAATTCATTCTTCTTAACTTTATAATTTCCATCTGTACATCAGACATTTGAAGCATAAATTCATTATCCCAAAGTGTTAAGAATACAAAATATTATAGAATATAGGATGGAAAAAATGTAAAAGATAGAAAAATACATTAAACAAGGATTGCAAAGCTCATTTTATCTTTAGAAATAAATATTTTAAAAAATTTATATATTTTGTGTGATTTTTTTTTGAGACAGGGTCTCACTGTAGTTCAGGCTGACTTGGAGCTCACGTCATTGCCCAGGTTGGTCTGAAACTTGCAGTGATCCCCCTGCCTCAGCCTCCTGAGTGCTAGAATTGCAGGGGTGTACCACCATGCCTGGAAAAGATTTTAATTTGTGCCACTAACATGGGCTCCCCAAGGCCAATGTAGGAGAAATATTCAGAGTTTGGTTTGTTGGTGTTATAGGTAGGTAGAGGTATTGATAGGTCCTAGGTTCTTAAGTTTGAACCAACATCTCCTGTACAATACAGGAGCAAGTGGGATGTTTCAGTTGGCAGAAAACTGGGAGTAATTTGTCCCCAGCCATGACACTGTCTGCTGTCCACCTGCAGGTGTCTCAGATGCTTCTTGAAAATGTGTGCAAGGTCACAGAGGATGTTTTGGAAGGGGGTGTGGTGGGGTGTGGTGGGTCAGTTCCTTGAATGGTCTCAGCAATGACGTGGCCTTTCCTACCATTTCCTACCTGGCCTTTCCTACCATTCTGGGCACAGAAGTGGCACTGTGCACAGCCAGTGCTGAGGTCTCAGGAAGCACATCATGAGAGGGACATCATTGTGGGGGCCCTTCTGTTATCAGAAGTTTTGGCTTCGACTAAAGTCTGTCCAGGTGGGGTTTGTATGTGATGGGACAGAGCTGCTGTGTTGAGCCTTGGGATTTAGTGTGACTCCTGGATGACAGCCACCTGCATCCCATCTGGTGACACTACCAGCCTGTTTTTGTTGTAGCCTCAAAATCACAAAGGGAAACAGGAGACACTTGAACATTTTAAGCCAAGAAGTAGCTATCCTCTGAGTAGATTAAAAATCCCAAGAACAAGCGTTCAGTTTAGTGTCTGTCCCTTTGCTTTCCCTGTTTGGTGTCTTTTTGAGCTCACAGTATGGAGTGGAATGAATTGGAGACTCTATCGGGGGCAAGTGCTATGGGGTTATACATGGCTACATGGCAGATTTTGCATAATAAATTGAAATGTGGTCAAGTGGTATCCTCACGTGAGACCGAGGGGATACTTTTGGCTGTTTTTTAATGCTTATATCCTATGTGAATAGGATCCGATGGAAGATTTTGGCATGCTTCTTAGTAATCTCTCTTTTTGTTGCTTCTAGTGCATCGCCATTGGGCAGAACTAGATCCTGAAAAACTCAAGAAGCTGAGCACCTACACTGCTCTAAGGATTCGGGACTGGAACACGAGAAGACAGAAGTCAGAACCTGCGTACCTGAGTAGCCCCATAGAAGCACCAAAGGACTCCACATTTCCCACAGCTGCCATACTCAGATGGGCTGGAGGTTGCTCCGGGGTGGGGCATGTGTTGGGGGCTCCCTGGCTCCCCACAGAAGGCTGCCTTGGTTTGCAGTATGTCTTGACTTGCTTTCAGAACCGACCAGCCCAACATCATCCATCATCGTGTCCCCCGTGTGAGCGTCCCTCTGTGCATTTATGATGGCCTCCAGCACATCCGCGCTGCCCATGGTCTGTGGCAGGTGTAAGGAGGGCTGTCCTCAGCAGTCATGTGTCACATGAGACCTTTGTTTGCATCTTGTAAATTTTTTCTTTTTTTCTAAAAATAAATAATAAAACCCTGAATCTCAAGAAACCATTTTATTACCAAAAAAATTCTGTTGTGCTTCTGCTGGGAGGTCTGTAGACCTGTGGGCTATCTGACTCTGCTGCAAGCACAGCTAGGCTTCCTTTTATTTTATTATTTTTAATTAAAAAAATTTTTTTTATGTATTTAGGATAGGGTCTACAGGGTCTCACTATGTAGATTGAACTTGTAGTGATTCTCCTATTTTCAGCCTCCCAAGTGCTAGGATTACAGGCGTATGCCTCCACGCCTAGTCTCAGTCGCCATCTCAGTGTGCTTTAGGGGTGGGTCTGGCAGGCACTCCAGGGATCGAACCCCAGTCCCTGTGTCTGCCTGAGCAGGTGCTTTAATCCGCTGAGCTATCTGGCTGGCCCGCCATGCTTCATCTTAAGAGAACTCTTTTGCAAGAGGCCATCTGTGCATGGCCCATGGGCCTCTGCTTCTTCCGTGTGAAATTGTCTGCAGCAGTTTATGCCTCCTGACTGTTACTTGGAAATGGGATGACAGAAAGGGGCTGTGCCACTGGGAAGGGAATCCAGCTTCAAAATGGCCAGACCATTTCTGCTGAGACCAAGTGTGGCTGCCACACTTTGTCATTAGGCTACAGCAAGGCACCCGCTGTGCCTGCTGTGTATGTGCCCTTCTCCCCAGAGCTGAGGCTGTGCATGCACCCCAGCCAGCAAGGACCCTGGACTGCTAAAGTCATTTCTCAGGTTAGTATTTGTCTGCTAGCAGCACTTGGGCAGTGGGCATTTTTGACATTATATATTAAGATATCAACAGAGTTGTCCTGTCTTGAAATGTTTGCCTAACTACAAAGGAGATGTATCTGGATCTCAGTAACTCTGATGCTGTCTAGTCATGGCCTTTATAATGACTTGAGACCCCCTAGGCTGACCCAGCAGTGTACTTCACATGAAAACATACTAGAAAGTGTGAGAACAATCCCAAATAACATCCTCAATGTATGCTCAAATACTTGAGACAGCTGAACATGGTGGCACATGTCTCTAATCCCAACCCTTTGGGAGACTGAGGCTGGAGGATCACAAGTTTGAGTCCACCCTGGGTAATTCAGCAACTTAGACCCAGTCTTTGAATGAATGAGTGAATGAATGAATGAATGAATGAATGAATGAATAGGGCTAGGGGTGTAGCTCAGTGTGCAGTCTTGGATTCAACCTCCAACACTGCCCTCACCCCTAGACAACACAAATACTTGGAATATAGAGTTGGAAGACTTTCCAGATTGCTTTGTCTGAGCCAGCGCAGTCATCCAATATAATTGAGCGTAGTTTGAATTCCCTGGTTTGAAGGTATCGCATCCAATGCAGATCTAGATCAGCTCCCTCATCCCTAGAACTGGAGCCCAGGAAGCTCTCCTGTCTAAGTTACCTAAGTAACTCAGGTTCCAGAGTGAATTCAAACTCACTTTCAAGTTACTTGAATCTTTTTGAAGCTGAGCAGATCTGCCCTAGCTTTTCTTGCTGCCACATTTTATTGTCACCAGTTATGCTGACTGAGCAACTGCAGCTTGTCCCTGTCGTCAGGGGTGATGGGGACTGCATAGCAATGAGTACTGTGCTGGGTGCTTGCATGGTGGAGGGGGACCCATGTCTCATTGCCCACAGCCTTGTTCCTGGATCCCATTTTAATGAAATGCAAACCAACTGCAGTGTGGGAAGCAGCCTGGGGCCAAGTGGGGCCCCTTGCGAGGAAGAGCTGAGAGATCTAGAGCTCTTTAGCTTGTGGAAAATATTTCTGAATATTTGAGAATGTAGAACGGACAGAAAACAACAGTAGGAGCACAGTAGGAGCAGGGGTTGTGCTTTGCACTGACTCACTTCTAACATTGGTGCTGGGAGCTCAAGGTGCAGAACTTTGGCACCTTCTTTTGTAAAAGGAGATCTTTTGTAATTAATTAGTTTAAAAACCCTCTCTTGGAGTATCCAGGGAACATGGTGTTAGCGAATGCTCACTACCTTGGTGGCACTAGATTGAAGTCACCCTGAAGGTGGCTTTCAACTTGTAGGGTCAGAAAATCATCAGGGAGAATCCCCAGCTTGGCTCAAGAAGGTCAAAGGAGACCCCAGCACATGAAAGTGGCTGCAAAAACAAGAGGAATTTCCACCCTGCTGTGACCTCCTTTTGCAGGTCATTTTCGATTGTTACGTGGGAATATGGCTAAAATTAGTTTGGGTTCTGCTCGCAGAGTATAAAATGTGCTGTCTTTACATCCTTCCCAACGTCTCTGCCTCCTGATTCCGCTTATTTATAAAGCTTGCTGTTTATTGTCCAGTAAAACATCATTTGAACAAGACATGAGAGGAGAGTCCTACCATGTATGGCTTTTCTCAGAAGCCTTGGCTGTGTTTAGGCCCAGCACTTAAAACAGAGCATCATGCTGATGGCTGGAGAGCAGGCTCCGTTTAATCTTGCCTTTCCCGGTTTACTTTATAGCAGACCAGGCTCTGTGGCCACACAGAACATAGACCAAATAAAGGCATCGCCGGGGCCCGCGCTCCAGGCTGGTGGTCCAGGGAGGGCGTCTTCCCTACTGAGTTGGCCTGGCCATAGATGGACACCAGCTGGCTCACGGAGAGGGTGGTGGTTTGCTGATTGCAATGTAAAGAACAAATGCTTCCACCAACACCACACTTCCTCTGTCTTACTAGTAACTTCAAGCCGAAGAGATAATCTTTTCTATCACTAATTGGTCATTTTCTGCCCGTTTTTTTCAGCCAGGCACTTTCAGAGTTCTTCCTTTGCAATTTATTGCTGCCTCGAACACTTTAAAAGAGTTAAAGAATCTCAGAACTCATGGAACCTTCACTTGGCTGTATTAGAAAAGGAGAGTGGACCTAGTGTGGTGGTGCATGCCTGTAATCCCAGCACGTGGGAGGCTGAGGCAGGAAGATTGCCATGAGTTTGAGGCCAGCCTGGGCTATAATGTAAGTTCAAGGCTTGGCTGAACTACGTACCAAGACCCTAAGGAAAGAGAAAAGGAGGTTGAAATGATGTTTTCATCCTTTCTTGGGGCCTAGGCAGAAGGGTATTCAATTTTTGGTGGCCCTGAAAGCCAACCTTAAGCTGGCATTGTGAAATTATCTATTAGTGATGGTATTTTAGAATTTAAATCCAAATTAATACCTTAACTTGTACAATATAGTTACTATTTCTAGGGGCCTTAAAATAACTTACTATCTTCCCCAAGGGTGTGTGAATTAGTGACTTGGTGGAACTGGCAGCAGGAGACTGGAACAGTCTGATAAGGAGCCATGTGCAACAAGGGACACTGGTGGCCCCCTATGGGGCAGAGGTAGCCAGGTGACAGCAGGAGGCCAAGGAGGAAGTGACAGGTACAACTGCCTCAAAGTGTGTGAGAAGGGACATCCAGATAACTGCTGGGAGCTTGACAGACCTGGATTTGGGGAGAGAGGAGGCAGGGATTTGGGGAGGGAGGGGCAGGGACAAGCAGGACCTTGGATGACGCTGGACCATGCAGGTGTGGCTGGTCCTGCTAACATCCTATGGCTTTGTCCTGCCCGCTCACATCTGCTCCAGGCTGACTGACTTGTCCAGCAGGTTGTCCTCTAAGTGTGACACTCAGGGACTGGATGCTGCTCTCCCTGTGGCCTCTTGACAAGGACAGTGGTGTCATGGTCTCAGCAGGTCAGCAGCCTGTTCAGCGTGGACTGAATGCTGACCATGCTATGGGACTGCTGCATGACCTTGGGATAGTTTACTCACTCATCCTGCTGAGCTTCTGCTCCCTCGCCTGCCCGGTGGGGACATCGCCTACCACGTGGGGCACTCGAGAGCATGCCCGGCTCAGCCTAGCACCAGGCAGGTGTGTGTGTGGCGTTCATGGCACCGTTCCCGTAGCCTGCAGGCAGGGGATGCCCCAGGCTCACTTCACGTAATCCTTGACCTTCCTGGTCCTCCTAGTGAGCTTGGCACAGTCTGTCCTGTTGAACTGTTTCAGTGTGACACTGCTGCTCCTCCTGGCATGTGTCATTCCTATACAGCTTTTCTCCTTTTTATTTTAATTCTTTTGATACAGATTCTTGCTACACAGCTTGGACTTATAGTGATCCTCCTGTCTCAACCTCACCAGCACTGGGATTACAGGTGTGTGTCACCATGCCTGGTTTCGGTGGCTGACACAGGATACCTAGGGTTCTGGGGCTGGCATGGCACCCAGAACCAGGCATTGAACTTGGGACCTTGTGCTTGCCAGGCAGGCACTTAGATGACTGAGCTATTTCCCTAGCCCCAGCTTTTCTCCATCTTTCACTCTTGCCTAAACACAGCACAGGGTGTGTGTGTGTAGGGGGGGGGGTTGGTCCTTTGTTAGCAGTCTCTCTCAGATCAGTAGCTGCATTACTTATCTTCTCGTTCAGCCCCCATTTCTCCTTCCTATGGTACCCAGTCCTGCTGAAATCAAACTATACTATTTTCACAGCACTTTGGTGATTAATCCAATGATCCTGTCAGAAAATATTAGTATGTCATAAGGCGTTATTTGTGAACTAATCTGGTTTCCAACAATCACTGTGTTCTTTCCCACAGGCTTTCATGCCATCTGTTCACTCATCTATTCTAGAATGTTCTCAGGGGCCCACATCTAACTGGGATGTCAGCCGTATCTGCAGCCCATTTTCTTTTTACATGTTTAATTTTTTTTTTTTTTTTTTTTTTTTTTTTTTGTGGAACCGGGGATTGAACTCAGGCCCTTGGGCTTGCCAGTCAAATGCTTACTCCACTGAGCCATCTCCCTGGCCCCTACATGTTTAATTTCTGACCCCTCTCTTCAGAATATCTTTCAGAGTTTTGATTTGAAAGACATTACCAAAGTGGTAATTTTGTTCTGTGATCCTCAAAAGTGACAGAACTTTGTATTCTTGTCACCTACCTTGGGCCTCCAGTCCTCTTCTATGATGTTTATTTTGCCTGTTTTTACAGGAATAGGTCAAGTAAGCACTTACTCCAGCATGTA